CCCCAAAACCCCAAAACCCCAAAACCCCGAAAGATATAAATAACATAAACCATAAATTATTGAAATTTAATTTAAAAATATAATAGAATTTTGTTGGAAATGGATGGACTTGAACAATTCATAGTTGAGGATCTTTGGCAGTACATGATTTAATAAGAGTATGAATTCAAAGGAGCAGATATCTTTAAACAAAACTTTATCAATGACTATCGAGATGAAATATTAAAGTATCACTCTGAAGGGAAAACTGCAAAAGATTCAATTCCTTTATTAAGAAAAAAATTTGACGGATTAGATCTTCTAATTGCATGGTATGATTGGCATAATTAAACAGACTGAGGTATTCAGCTCATTAAGATAGATTAATCCTCATTAAATAAGCGGAATTATCCAAATCATTTTTTTATGGAGAAATTAATATCAGAATAAAATAAGCAAACATAATCAAAAGAAGAAGTGAAAAATGAATGAGGAATTGAATAGAGTGAGGAATAAAGTGATGATGAATAAAGTGAAGATGAATAAAGTGAAGTTAATTGGTAAAGTTTTTCAGATTGTGAAATTGAAGAAATGAAAAAATAAAAATTTGAGTAGTTATATGGTTTTGATCTTTAAGAAATATCAGGATATAATAGCAATTAAAGAATTAAAGGACCTATTGATGAGAAATTTGACATCTATGCAATGGGAAATTTATTCATTTTTGAAAAAGGGCATTCAAATTATGCTTGCTTTGGGGCCTAAAATTACGCTTATATACATAAATATTACAAATAATATCTGATAGATTAAATCGATGTTAGAATATTTATCGAGATAACCTTTGAGAATGATGACTAAGAGGAATTAACTAGTCATCGGTTTTTATTGTATACAGAAGAATCTTAATTATTATTGGAAATTTTTGATGAAGACGAGAATAGTTTAATAGATAGCCCAATAATAATTAATATTATAAAGCCAATTAAAAGGTAACCTGAAGTTGATATTGAATTATTAGGCCCTCGTATATGGCATTACCACGTAAATAAAAAAGTCTAAGTAGTTCATAAAATTAACTAGGAAAAGTTTAAAAATTTTCTTAATGATATTAATGATATTTATGATTTATCTTAGAAATTAAAGTAAAACTAATCAAAATGGGTTTCATTTTAGAAAAAATCTCTCAAAACAGTTATTTACATGGCATGCTCTTGATACCTTTAAGTTTCCTGAAAATCCAAATGATCCTAATTTTTAAAGAGTAAATTATTTCACATGCACTGAAATTCTAGAAAGAGATAGTATAGAGTTCAAATATACAGCCTTTAAGTTCCTCAAAACAATTCAGAATTGAGATCCAAGATTAGATAACATGTAAGATACTATCAATATAATGAACAAAGAAATAGATGAATATTTCTTAGACAATGTAATTGAGGTAAAAAAGATTTATAATAAGTTTTTACACCAAGCAGTTAAGAGCGAATTTGAAAAAATGATAGTGAAACACCCTTATATGGATGGGATTAACTTAGTAAAGCATTTATTTCATGGAACAAGACAAAATGATCCCTTTAAAATATACTCATTTGAGCATGGATTAGATATGAGGTATAGTAATAATGGTGTTAATGGGATAGGGTTGTATTTTGCAGATAATTCAAATTATTCTCAATCCTATTGCCATACCAATAACGTTGGAATAAAGTAGCTGTTTATGTGCACTGTTATTACAGGTTTGTCATCAAATTAAGGAGGTGGAAAAGGTGCAAGAATGCCTGCACCAATACCAGGTAAATAAGGAGTACTTTATGATTCATTTAATAATGGAAATAAAGGTCATTATGTTATATATGATAATCAAAAATCATACCCAGGTTATTTAATTTCTTATAAATGAAGCAATTTAATTTGCATATCCACTAAAATTCTAAAACTTTAACTTCAAGGGGTTTTGGGGTTTTGGGGTTTTGGGG